GAAAGTGACACAGACAAACATAAACACAAAATTGCAGTTAGTGTTTAAATTGCAGAAGTACCGTTGTTTTCTGCTGAGTTCTTCATTCTGCTCCAGAGCTGCAGCCTCACGTCTGACTTCATGTCAGTAAATTCAGGGATTTTCTTGTAGATTATTGTCCAGAATCTTACATTTCCAGGTTTTCTTGACTAAAACCAGTGAGTCTACATTTCTTTGATCACTTCAGTTTGGTAATCAGAATCTAAAACAGCGTTTCCTCACTTTTATTTCCTTCCATGTCTTTGTGTTTGGAAACAGCCTCCTTTACAAAGTTAATGTTCTGAAAAAAAAAACATCAATAAAACACTTGTTAAATGGAAGTTAGAGTGCTCCAAACAAAAGTGGGTCTATTTGCAGTTTGACTGAGCTGCAGTCTGCAGAGGAGACGTCTTGTTATCTCATTATCCTTTAAAGTGAAGCATTGGTTTCTTGTTAATCACAWGCTTTGTGCTCTTTTCAATCCCGCTAATCACCTGCAGACCCCTGAACACCTGGCTGTTCGGGAACCGCTGCTTTAATCCAGAAATTGGGACTCGGTGACGATGAAAAGTGCATTTTTGATTAAAACTGTTAAATAACAGCTTCTGAATTCAAGTCATGAGAAGTTAGGTCCCTCTAGGATATTTTCAGAAAAATATACTTTATAATTTTATAATTATTTCCTGAGGTTTTATCAAATACTTTATGTGTCCTATGGAACATGGTCCCATCCTTATTACTGCCACAAAAGCCCAAAACTGGCTCTGGGTCTGGATTAGGATTAGCATCTGTGCAGGGGTTAGAGGTATAAGTCAGGACAGAGCATGATTTAGTTTGGCTTTAAAAAAGAGGAGGGGTCATTTAGTGTTTGAGTAACCAGAGTTTATCGACACGTTGACCTTCTGTCCTTCGGATTATCTGCTCTGACTCTAGGTTTTATAAAAACTACTGTACAAAACATAAAAAATAAGCTTATAAAGGATAAAATGGCTCAACTCAGGCTGTTAGTTAGGAAACGAAAAACTGTTTTCTGTTAAGCAAATGATATTATGTCCGTAGCTTTCAGTTGAAGGAACAATAAATTGGCAGAATACCAAAGAATCAAACTGAAGCAGAAAGAAATGGCAGCAGATGATGTCACGATCACAGGAAGCAGAAGAAAAGCTGACTGCTGAACAGGACAATGAAAAAAACTCAGCATCAGCTGGAAGAAAATCCTCAAGGACACACTGAGTCAACTCATCACATGTCAGGAGCCACATGCTCATCAAATCAAAGCTCTAAGAGCTGCATGATTTAAGACCAAATCAAACTGAATCAGAGGTTATCAGTGAATGTGACAAACAAAGCCGGAAGATTCACCTTTAATCTCTTATGAGAAATAAACACGACAAATCCCAATGACTGTTTGTTACGACTTCTCAAGGAAGTCATAAAACATCTTATCTGTTCAGTTTGGTCAAACTTCAGATGGTTTTACTCTCATTAACATTTGCAGCAAATCTCTGTTCTGAGTTGTAGCTTGAAAATAAACAAACTTTAAAAGGGATGCAACAAGATGAAAATTTCAGCCGATGTTGATATCTGTTATTTACGGAAATTACACAAACATACAAATTATTCATATACTATATATGTATATGTACACATATACTCGTCTTTTTTTGTTTTGATACCATAAAAAAATGACCATACCACGTTTCTCTGCTTCAGTCATTTCTGGCTGTGCAGCATCGCTAACAGTAGCTGTGTTTCCATTGACCATGAAAATACGCAAATTAGAATTTCGAAAATAAATTTGCTCAATGGAAACACGTCAATTTCGAAAAAAATTATGTTTTTCGACTAAATGTTTTTACGCTAGGATGAGGTGGTTTTTCGGCCGTATCGAAATTGGTGTTTTTCGCAAAACTGTAATGGAAACACTTTTTTCGCATCACGGGAGTCACGTGATCAACAACCGGCTGTTTCTACTGGTGAAAAAGACGACGAAGAAGATAACAGGAAGTAGAAGTTGTAGTAAAATCACCATAGTAGTAAAAGAAAGTATTAAACTCAACGACTACAAT